AAAAAAAAACTCGTGGGTATACAGAAAGGTGTAAAATATGCGTGCGAAAACATTTGAGTGATTATTTATCTCCTTGCTTGCTTAGAAAATTCTTTTCTGTTTAGTCGCAGATACTCCACTGTCACCATCGAATCCTTTCTCCATGCAACAACTTCCGTCCGTCTTGCCTACTCCCCCTGTGGGGCCAAACTTGAATGATCCCTACGCCGATATTGAAGTTAGTTTGACGAGTGTTCCACTAGATATCACGCATTGTTGAATTGGATGGGAAATTTAATATCCAGTCGTTTTCCAATAAGGCAATAACAATTTCAAAGTAACTTTTGTATCATGTTCATTCAATAACCCCTCAATTATAGGTGAAAATAGCTGATCTGGGTAACGCTTGCTGGACACATCATCACTTCACAGAAGATATTCAAACAAGGCAGTATCGATCTTTAGAAGTATTGATAGGAGCCGGTTATGGCCCTCCTGCGGACATTTGGAGTACTGCGTGCATGGTTAGTGCGACGTTGTGGCATTACAAAAAACAAATAATTGCTCTATCGGATTGAATTTACCCTTTTGCAGGCGTTCGAACTCGCTACAGGCGACTATCTTTTCGAACCACATAATGGTGATAATTACTCTCGGGATGAGGATCACCTTGCCCATATTTGCGAACTTCTTGGGTCTATTCCTCCATCTGTATATAAGAAGGGACAACATTGGAAGGAGTTTTTCAACAAGGTGAGTTGAAAGTTCAGCATCCTTTTTGGTAAACACGATTGATGTCCGTTTTTGTAGCAAGGGCGTTTGCTTCACATACATCAATTGAAGCCTTGGCCTCTTCTTGACGTTCTGCGTCAAAAATATGATTGGCCTTTCGAGCAGGCACGGCAGTTCGCCTCTTTCCTTATTCCGATGCTCGCATTTGATCAGGTAAATGGGTAAATCAGTCAGGAATTTTCTCAAATTTGTCTCTGTGGATATGAAAATCAGTTGCAGCTTCTCAGTTCAGTTTTGTTTGTTGGACAGCCAACAGATAATTGTTCACGTTAAGGATGAGAGGATTACTGCCGCACAAGCTCTCGAGCATGACTGGCTGAAACCGTTTGGTGGTAAACCCCCACCACCTGATGTTCCCATAGAGGTAACTTGTGCAGTCATATTGGCTGTGTCCATGAAATGCCGATTTCGAGTCGTTTTCAGGTCCTAAGGAGGATTTATCCAAATGGTGAGATTCCGAGAGCGAAGCCCGCAAACCCTAGCAGAGCTGTTGTGAATGGTGGCGATATGCGAGAAATGGAAGTGGATGCGGAGCAGGCACAGTGTCGAAGCGACGTGCTCCTCGACGGTGCCGCAGGTGCCGAAGTATAGGTGCAATCGTTTTCTGCTTCATTTGCATAGATCATACTGTTTCCATGATTGTTTCACACAATTCTATGAAATCTTATGATCATCCACCATCGAATTGTAAAATAATTTAACGCTTATCGTTGTGATTTGTTCCCTCCAGATGCACAGTTCGGCGAATGTGGTGTCTGTAATCTCCTATTTTATGGGTCCAGATATCACTTCTGTGATTGACGAACGACAGCCTTCATACTGTCCCTTTTTCCAGCACTCCGTCCTCCTTTCGAATTACCACTTCCTAATTTATATTAATAATATCAGCTCGGTGTCGGCGTACCGCACTGTTTAGTGGAACGATATCGACGGAATGAAGTGATGTGATTCGCTCTTGTTCTCAACGGCGATATCTGATATCCTGAGGGAATGGCAGCGGGAGTACGTGGAGTGACGGCACGGCATATATATGTGCTTCACATGTATTCTTCGCCCATACTTGTACAGAGTGCATGTCAGCCGTTCGCTTTTTATTTGCATAGGTCTCTTGTAGGACGATTGCCAACTTCTCCCAAAATCCTTCATCCTTGTATTTGTTTGTTTTATGTGCCGTTTCAAATTTGCTGCTCTGCTCCTTTTTCACAGATATATCAAGCATAGTGTTAAAAAAAAANNAAAAAAAAGAATAATCAGAGTGTTTCGTTTGAACATCATCTTCCACCACCACTAATCGCTTGACTGCGGTCATTTGCCGTCATCCGAAGGCTGTGTGCGTATGTGCATGTGTTTTATTCTCTCCTCGATAACTACTACTGTGTGTATGAGTGGGGTGTGACTCCACACATACAATCCCACATTACCATGTGCTGGTCCTATGTGTTCATTTTATGTCCATAATCTGTTCATTCGTGTCTGTGCCCCTGTGAGTTTTTTTGAGGTGAAACATCTGAAAATGATCTGTTGTTTTTACTTTTTGTCATCCTTCTGTTGAACCACTAACGACACAGAAGTTGAACATTACCAACAGTTACAGATGATGCCGCCAGCTTAAAAAAGTTTTCTAGGTGTTAAAGGCCGACATGAGTGCACCGCTATTCCGAAAGTACAAGTCGTCCAACCTAATCAAGGTGATAAATAGTACAAGTCGTCCAACCTAATCAAGGTGGTAAATAAAAGTCATGAAAATCAGAAGAGCGGCAGTATTTGCACGAGGGTCTCTAATTTTGCTTCTTCCCTTTGGCATAATTTCCTGTCTGATGTAGGCAGCAATATTCGATACCGAATAGCACCAACTTCTTAGTAGTTACCTTTCCCTGAGTTTTCTAGCAGATGGCAATTACTATTCATGTTTTGTACACAGTACACTTTCATGGGGGGGGGGCTTATCATTGGGATCATTTGCGTTTGATCGTTGCCAATGTTACCATCTAACTGAGCATATACGTAGGCGATCACTGAGATGCTTATTGACTACACTTCAACGACCATAAAATCCTCTGCTCGAAACGTAGGTTCATTCAAATCTGTTGTGACCTGAAAGATGATCGTTTGTTCACAAAGTCCAGGACAGAACTCAGCCAGTTCGAAAAGAAACGTGGTCGGGAACTTGAAACCCAGGGATGTTCTCAATTACACCGTTGCGATTTTTCACTGGTATCGAAAAGTAGTAGTAATATTGAAGCAATTCATTCAAAAATAACAATCTATTATGCTGATTAGTAATGGAGCCGGCCTTCGAAAATTGAATGCTAGACGAACTGCTTCATACAACAGAAATTAAAAAGTCGTCGCTTCGTCATAGTTGTTTTGTTCGGGTTCAGCATTTCATAGAATTTCATCTTTTTCATTGACGCAGCGATAGAGTGCCGATCGTTCATCAGAATCCATTAACTTGAACTTCACTCTTAAGGGCCATGAGGTTCTGGATTAAGTAACAGGACTTTGGTGAATAAAATGTGCTGCTGAGGTACCGAAAAGCAGACTCAGTGATGTACCGGAGCACAATATTTTTCATTAAGAACGTATTCAATTTGCAAGTGGTCCAATGGTTTATTGCCTGCCGTTCCTGTTCATAACCACTGTTTTCGGTCTAATAGGTATTTTGGAGTAAGCCACAATCTGAAGTGTGCGAGACCACTGAGACCTTTGCACCTTCACCTTCATTACAATCGATTCTTATAGATGGGTTGTGTAGTGTGGTATGTAGGAATCGCTACCAGCCCTCCTACGCTCTTGTGGTCTAATCGATGAGGGTATTGCGTACAGCTCCCACATTCACCACGAATTCTCCCATATAGTCCAACTAATTTTTGGTCCACATTAAAACCTAAAATTTTT